TGGAATTTTGGATGAGAAGCTACTCAAGAGGAAACATCTGGAGGGGAAAATGATGGTGGAAACCACAAAATCGTGGAATTTTAGATTTCCTACCTCGAGAAACTGCAGGAAACATCTGGAGGTGGGAATGATGGTGGAAACCATGGAATTGTGGAATTTTGAATTTCCTACCTCGAGAAACCAGAGGAAACATCTGGAGGGGGAAATGATGGTGAAACCACAAAATTGTGGAATTTTTGATCGGATATTACTGAAGAAACTGTGGGAAACGTCTGGAGGTGGGAATGATGGGTGAAATCATGGAATTGTGGAATTTTGGGAGGGAAGATACTCGAGAAACTGGAGGAAACATCTGGAGGTGGAAATGATGGTGGAAACCATGGAATTGTGGAATTTTGGATTTCCTTAAGAAACGGGAGGAAACATCTGGAGGTGCAAGTGATGGGTGAAACCATGGAATTGTGGAATTTTTGATCAGAAGCTGCTCAAGAAACCAGAAGAAACATCTGAAGGAGGGAATGATGGCAGAAACCACAAAATCGTGGAAATTTGGATGGGAGGCCACTTGAGAGGAAACATCTGGAGGTGGGAATGATGGTGGAAACCATGGAATTGTGGAATTTTTGATCGGAAGTTACTCAAGAAACCAGAGGAAACATCTGGAGGTGCAAGTGATGGGTGAAACCATGGAACTGTGGAATTTTGGATGGGAAGGTACTCGAGAAACTGGAAGAAACATCTGGAGGTGGGAATGGTGGTGGAAACCACAAAATAGTGGAATTTTGGATTTCCTACCTCAAGAAAATGTAGGAGAAACATCTGGAGGTGGGAATGATGGTAGAACCACAAAATTGTGGAATTTTTGATCGGAAGTTACTCAAGAAACCAGAGGAAACATCTGGAGGTGGAAGTGATGCGTGAAACCATGGAATTGTGGAATTTTGGGTGGGAAACTACTCGAGGAGAAACATGTGGAGGTGGGAATGATGGTGCAACCATGGAATTGTGGAATTTATGATTGGAAGTTACTTAAGAAACCGGAGGAAATATCTGGAAGTGGAAGTGATGGGTGAAGCCACGGAATTTTGGGTGAGAAACTACTCGAGAAACCGAAGGAAACATCTGGAGGTGGAATGATGGTGGAACCATGGAATTGTGGAATTTTGGGTGGGAAGTTCCTTGAAAAACCAGAAGAAACATCTGGAGGTGGAAGTGATGGGTGAAACCATGGAATTGTGGAATTTTTGATGGGAAACTACTTGAGGAGAAACATCTGGAGATGGGAATGATGACAAAACCACAAAATCGTGGAATTTTGGATGGGAAGGAACCTCTGAAGTTTGGTTTGGAAGGACTTTCAGAGGACAGGGGAGGTTCCGGTGGCGGAGCTGACGCCGATCCCGCACCGAAGGTGTCAAAACTCATTTCCCGTTGGATTTCCCATCAGATTTCCCATTGGATTTCTGGGCAGGAGGAGGGCGGGACAGCCCCCACGGCACCGGGGACACCTCCGGTTCCTCACCCAACAGGAAAAGGCGGTGACCTCACGGAACGTTTTTTTTTTGGGTGGAAAAAGCACCACCGGAACCCGATAATCGGAATTACCTTTGGTGTCGTTGACCGGATCCATGTGCCGGTAGATGTACCCCTCCAGGTAGGAATGGAATTTGGGCGTGGGCGGGAAGAAAGCCAAGCAGATGGCCATGAGCTCCCAGCCGCGCGCCAGGCTCTCGTAGCGGAAGTTCTCGGTGGTCTGGCGGCACAGCTGGATGTAGAGCTCRTCCCGCARCCCCTGCACGCTCCAGCCTTTGGTGGCGATCTCCAAGGCCACGTTCAGCTGGTCCGTCTTGGCGCGCCGGTCGCCCATGTACATCTGGATCAGCTTGAAGATCTCGCACGCCTCCTTCTTGACGTTGCGGTCGTTGGTCATGATCATGGGCTTCTTGATGGACTCGCTGCTCCAGGCCAGCATGTTGGCGATGGACACCTTGCGGCGGAACAGCCCCTGCGTGTGTTTGTTGAAGTGCTTGGACGCCCAGTTCTCAATGTCCGTCTCCGACGACGGCTTGCGCAGGTTGAAGGTGGGGAAGACGCAGCTGGCGCTCGGCATCATGTTCCGCGCCGGCCGGCCGGCCTCGAACTGAGCGCAGGCGCCCAGGTCCTCGGACTGCGGGGTGGGGACAGGTGGAGTGATCGATTAATCAATCAATCAATTAATCAATCATCAATCAATTAATCAGGCTTGATTTGCATCAATCAATTAAAAGAATGAATGATCAATCAATCAATCGATCAATCAAACCAGCTGATCAATTGCAGGTGCCCAGGTCCTCGGACTGCGGGGTGGGGACAGGTGGAGTAATAGATCAATCAATCAATCAATCAATCAATCAGGCTTGATTTGCATCAATCAATTGAAAGAATGAATGATCAATCAATCAATCAATCAACCCAACTGATCAATCACAGGCGCCCAGGTCCTCGGACTGCGGGGTGGGGACAGGTGGAGTAACAGATCAATCAATCAATCAATCAATCAGGCTTGATTTGCATCAATCAATTAAAAGAATGAATGATCAATCAATCAATCAATCAACCCAACTGATCAATCACAGGCGCCCAGGTCCTCGGACTGCGGGGTGGGGATAGGTGTAGTGATCGATCAATCAATCAATCAATCAATCAATCAGGCTTGATTGGCATCAATCCATTAAATAAAGAATGAATGAATCAATCTGTCAACTGCCCAATGAAGCAACTGAACAATCGCAGGCGCCCAGGTCCTCGGACTGTGGGGTGGGAACAGGTGGAGTGATCGATCAATCAATCAATCAGTCAATCAATCAGGCTTGATTTGCGTCAATCAATTAAGTAAAGAATGAATGAAGTAATCAATCAATCAATCAATCAATCAACCCAACTGATCAATTGCAGGCGCCCAGGTCCTCGGACTGCGGGATGGGGACAGGTGGAGTAATTAATTAATCAATCAATCAATCAATCAGGCTTCATTGGCATCAATCAATTAAGTAAAGAATGAATAAAGCAATCAATGAAATGCTCAGTGAATCAACTGATCAATCAATCAATTGCCCAATGAACAAACCAACTGATCAATCGCAGGCACCCAGGTCCTCGGACTGTGGGATTGGGACAGGTGGAGTAATCAATTAATCAATCAATCAATCAATCAATCAGGGTGGATTGGCGTCAATCAATTAAGTAAAGAATGAATGAATAAATCAATCAATCAATCAACCCA